CTGAACCACTCAACCATCTTTCTCAAGTAAGAGCAAGCTGTTGGGAGGGAGAGTCGCACAGCTGATAGTGTAAGAGATGCCAACAGAACACGACCAGAGCGAAAGTGGTCTGGAAGTCACTAGTGCTTCTTGAGAAAAGACGACCAAAGCCCTGCTTCCTAGTGCTCAGTACTGCAGAGCCCGTTAACACAAGCATGCGAGCTCTGTTTCACCTGGGCGGACGGGAAGCGTCCAGTGCTGTACATGCCACTTGCAAGCAGATTTCTCTGTCTCAGGCCTACGGCCTCAACTTTTTCCTTCTTCCTTGGTTTTCTAATCTCGTGACAGCTGCATTTGCTGGCTCTGTATTCCCTTCTTAGCATGAGGAGACTGATTTAGGACTCTGTTTCCTGCAGATGCAAAAGAGGTAAATGTGAAATGTACTAATTGGTCGGCAAGTGCAGTGGCTAGTTATTGTTATGCTTACTGGAGCGGTAAAGACTGAGTTGCCAAGGTCTGGTCTGTTTGGTTCAAGAGAAATAAACTTTCTTCTTGCCTTTAAGGGGAGCCCGAATGATTCCAGAGTCTGACCAGATATTCACAGAGGTGGAACTGAGTACGCTGGAAAAAGTCATCAATGAAACAACGGTGATAAAGGATGGAATGATTCTGGGGGACGGTGGAGGTGGCAGTTTGGGTTGTGTTTCCTGTCTGAAGTAATAGGTCGGGTACTTTCACTCGAGGTCATGGAGTAGTGCGTGCATGCCTTGTTTCCATGCCGCCAGCAAACCTCCTCTGTGTTTCAGTGTTTTCTAATGCCCAGCTTGACCCTAGACTGCTTGGCGGGAGGATAACAGTTCGTGTGTTGCGTGTGGACAGTTGTCTCTGGGAGCGGTGGCGTAACCCAGTAATCTGGCTGTGCTTTTTAAAAGCAGCCGCTGGGTTGTGAGGGTTCTCTTTGTTCCTTTTGTCCTGTGTTTGGGTAACTAAGAAACTGGTGGAAATGTAGCGGGGAGCAGCCTTATCCTGAGTAAGTTAGAAGGCCCAGGAGTGGTGACTTTGAGATACTGTGACATACAGTGGTTTCTGGAACGAGAAGGCATCTGAAAAGCACCTCTTCCCTCCTGTCCCACAGATTTGGAAAAACGAGACGCTGGCTGAACAGAACAAGCTCTCTCCTACTGAGAAACCCATCCTGCTGTCCAAAGATATAGAGCTCAAGATAGCAGCCCTGGACAGGGAAGTGCAGTATCTTCTGAATAAGGCCAAGTTTGCAAAACCCAAACCCAAAAAGGAGAAGAACACCACAAAAACCGATTCGGGCAAGAATGCTACAGCAACCTCTGAGGCTGAGAACACTATCCCTCCCACGGAGGGGAAACAAGAAGGTAAGGAGCGGGTGCGTAACTCCTAGTGTGTAATTACCATGTGCAACACACACCTCTGCCTTGAGTGGAAGGGAACTAAGTAAGTGAAGGCAATAGTTTACTGTAGGATCAAATGATCCTGCTCTTAGTTTTCAGAGACAGCTGGGAAAATCTAGGTATGGCAGTGACCTTTTCCCCCCACCATTTGTTTGTTTTGTTTTCTGGGAAGCAACAGAAAATATTTACAAACTTCCTAGGATGGTTAGTCAGTATCTGTCTGGTTGGCTGGCTGCCTTGTAAGAAAGACAAGCCATCAATTCTGTCGTGGGTGTCCAGAGCAAGTATTCAAGGTCGCATCCTGTATTAAAAAAAAAAAAAATTCTCCTGGGACACTAAGACTTGCGGTTTTCTGAATTTTTTAAGATCCTCAGGTTCTGAGTGCCCTGGTCCTTTCAAAGCTAGACTGCTGTTTGTCAGCAGAGTTCCCTGCCAGTTACTCTGGCCTGAGTAGGAGATTCTGCTTATAGTCACAGCTCCAAAGGTGACTTGCCTGTGCAACCAGTGAATCTCAAGGCCTTCTAGGGACGTAAAGCCTCGCAGACAGAGGCAGCGAAAAGTAAGGAGCAGCTCTGTGATGCTTCTCTGAGTGTTAGAGAGATCCATTGTGAGAGAGAGTTACTGCAGTCTTGCTGAGGCACCACAGCGGGCTTGTTTGTAAAACCTTGCTGCTGGCCACGAATCTCCCTGAACCTGGTCTCCTGTGTATTCTCCCTTAACTTTTGTTTCTTTCTGCTTTAAACACAGACAAACCTGAGGATACCAGTCCAGCCAAGGAACCTCCTACAGCTGAGAAAGTAGTGATAGAGGACAAGCCTGGATCAGACTCTGGTGAGTAAATGTTTGCCTAACAGTCTAGAACTTGGTAGCTACAAGCGCAAGCTGTCCCTGTGCGTCTTTACATCCTTTTAGCTGTGGGAGGTAGTAAGACGGTAGAACCCCTGATTAGGAAGCAATTGCAAATGCTACAAAGAGGAAGACACAAATTCCGGTCCCTTGCTGTTCCTACGTTTTTATTGTTGGGTGTGAAGCTGTGATGTAGGCCTGCCTCCTGCCTTGGCAGCTGCTTTATGCCTCGGTCTTTGCTGCTTATAGCCAGTCCCATAGCTGCAAGGCTGTCTTTGTTGAAGAGCTGATGTGCAGGCGTGTGGTTTTTCTGCCAGCCCTATTCCGAGGACAGCAGTGTTCAACAGGTGGAGGGCAGCAGCGTCTTCAGCTCTTTGGAGCTGAGTATCAGTCCTCAAAGCAGCCCCCTGACTTCTGTGCCCTAGCCTGGGAGCTTGGTGGACTACTTAATGAATGCCAGGGACTTCCAGTGCTGCTTTGTGTGCTGTAAAAACTGCTGCAGTGTCTAATGGAGTTCACTTCCTTACGCAGGGTCCAAAAAAGAGAAGAAGACAGAAGCTGGAGGAGAAGGCAGGAAAAACGATGAGCTGTAACGCCCCTGAAATCCCACTAGTGTCAACATCTATTTATTTCATGGTTACTTTCTTGTTTTTCTAATGGACCTGGTTAGTCACAATGTAAATGGAACATGGCAAACAGTCTGACAACAAAATGGGATAGAGATGTAAATTTTATTTTTTCTTTCTGGGGATTTTGCCGCTACTAACTTAGTGAATTGTTTTTTGGTTTTCTTACGTGTTTCAAGGTGGCAGTGTGCCCACTGACAATTGTCTTGGTACAGAAGTCACCAAAGTGACTTTTCTGTGGAGGGGAAGCAGTAAAGAGACACCTTAAGCTTTCGGAAGTAGCGTGGAACATGAGCTCTGTGCCGCACCTTCTCTGGTGGGGATAAATGGGAGGAACGCCAGAGCGTCTGTAGCTGAGGTGGTGGTGGTGTCCTTGCCTGCGAGGCGCTGGCGTAAAGCAGTGGCGCGATGTCAGCTGAGGGGGTGGGTGTTCTCGTTCGGATTTGTGGGGTGGTGGAAGAGAACTGGGGAGGCTCTGTGCCTCGAGATAAGAAAGCGCCTGTTTCCCGTAGGCCGTTGTTCAGACCCTCTCTCTCTGTGCTCGGTAGCAGAGTCAGAAAACTGTGAGTCGAGACCTGGCAAAAAAGATTCTGTTTGTAGTTTACTATAAAGTGGAAAGTTTGGGAACGGCGGCCCCGGACGCGAAGGAGACGGGGAGGAGAGAGGTGTTGGTGCCGCGGCCGCGGCGCAGGGTTGGCAGAAGCAAAGCTGGCGCATGGAACCGCGACGTCCTCGTTCCTCTGTACCCCGCGCGCTCGGCCCAGCTTCGGTGCGCCCCTCCGTGACCTCGGCTCCCGGCCGTGCTCCATGCGCATCTGGTGTCGCTCTCCATTTTGGCCTCTTCAACCGAAAAATAAAGATTACGCTTCCCGACCGTCCAGGGAGAGGGGTCCCTTTGTACCGGGCAG